GAGAGAGAGAGAGAGAGAGAGAGAGAGAGAGAGTGTCACAACAGCTGTGTCCTCTTTTTCAGCATCAGGTGGGAACTGTGGGCTGTGTGAAGGAGTGACTAGTAGAGCCTCTGAACATGCGCAGAGTGCCCTGCCTCGGGGCTCAACATCTGGGACACGTGGCACAATCGCTCAGCCCTTGTGAGACGTCAGATCTCCCCTCTCCTTTGCCCGCGCCCTGCTCATGCCAACCCCGCGGTTCCTGTGCCTGCCCCCCCCCCACGGAGACGCCTTTCCCTGTCAATGGCCCCTTCTGAGTGGCTTTTTGTAACTTTGTTGAAATCCAGCTAAAGGGAGGCTCTAGCATAGCAGCCCCTGTGGTGTCAGGCTAGGATCTGGCAGACCTGGGTCACCAACCCCCCCCCCCCCGCCATGAAAGTTGTCTGGGTGAAAGCAGGTCTAAAATGAAGAAGGGATGCTGTAAATGGCTTTGGGTCTCCCTGGGGAAGAAAAGGGGGGTATAGGTGAAGCCAAGGAAAAAACGACTTCCCTCCTGGTTCAGGTGGTCTTGGGAGGACTGTATTATTTAGGTACTTATACCCTGCTTTTCACCCCCCATGGGGACCCAAACCAACTTGTTTATTATTACTTCTAACTGGACTCTCCCCTTCCCTGTTTTATCCTCGCAAGAGCCGCCTTGTAAGGTAAGCTAGGCTGAGAGAGCGTGACTGGACCAGTGTCTCCCGGTGAGCTTCCATGGCAAGGACTTGAATCCAACTCTCTCACCTTGTAGCCCAGTTTTCTGATCACTGTGGTGAGGGTGTCTCCACACAGCTGTTTTGTTCTGCCTTGACTTGCTTACAGCAGCGATCGTGGGTTGTGTGGCGGAATGGGCCTGCTCTGGCCTGCAGGCCCCATTCCACTCTGCCTTCCACGGGGTTTCCCATTCCCTGGCTTCTCTCTCCCTCCCTCTCTCCCCCCCCTCCCCGGTAATGCACCTCCACCACCTGACCTTTGTAAGGGACTGCCCAGTAGGAGGGACAGGACTCCCAGCTTCCCTTCCAAGCTCTGAGGCCTTGTCTTTGTCTCTCCTGCTGTCCAGCACCTGGTCACCACGGGGGACAGACTACTGCATTGCACACACCCGGAGGAATAGCCACTTGCCAGCAGCCTGGCTTCCCCCTCCTGGCTCTCCTTTTCATAAAATCATAGAATCAGAGAATGTTAGAGTTGGAAGGGACCTTGCAGGTCATCTAGTCCAACCCCCTGCACTCTGCAGGAGCATGGCCGAAAGATAGCCCCACAACATACCCAAAAGATGGTCATCCAGCCTCCACTTGAAAACGTCCAGCGTTTTAAAATAGCATGTCTGAGATGGTGGGGGGTCTATGTGGTACAGAGAACCACATCCAGCACCCAAAAGTTATGAAGTATTTATTAAAAAGAAAAAGTTCATAAGTATACGTTCAGCACAGCACCAGATTTGAGCAAGGGAACCAGAAGAAATGGGTAAAATGCAAATCCTGTGTCCCTTTCTCTATATATGCCCTACCAGATGTTAAAATAGGACAGGGCCCTTTAGTTTAGGTTGTTACAGATCCCAGTAGAGTTACCATTACCTTGAAGATCCCTCCAGCTCTTTTAGGCCAGCACATGGTCAAAATGGCCACCTTCCCAGTTTGCGTGTGATCATGTCCTCAGCACCCAAGGAAAAGAGACCTCCTTCCTGCGGCATATCTGTTTCCCCTCCCCCTGACTAGGTCATGCCAGGTCAAAGAAGCGCTTCCTGGAGATCTCCAGGAATCTCCTTCCTGTAGACTATCTAGTATTTGATCCCTCCAAAACTCTGTTCCCTGCTTGAACGGGGGGGGGGGGGGGAGAGACCATCCCATTGTCTTTCCTGCTAGAGCTATTAGTATACGTATA